TTGTGTAAGCGCTAGTGCGTATTTTTGATATATACAGCATTTTCACAACAACTGAAGATAACATAGTTACTTGATAGTGGCATAGAATTGAACTATGTGTCTGGAAAATACATAATAYCCCCCTCAAAAATTACTGTAGCCCCCTCCATAGGGCTCCAGTTAAATTAATGTTCTATTACATAGTCACCCAAAAATAGCTAGTTTTACTATTATTCACTTGTAAAAGTTAAAAAAGTAAGGCTTAAAGTGCACCATATGTTCAAGTAATGTTTTCTTTACTTATGCCCAATTTTGTGGGGCTTTGTGTCATTTCAAAACCACAAGGGGTTGTTTTTTTTATTAAAACTGAAAAAAATGTAGAAAACTCAAAATATCAAAAACACGTCCATAGTTTTGACAATTAATGTGTTTTTGTCATAAACACAATAATGTTAGATTCAAAGGGTTTTTGTATTCAAATCTRTGGAGGACCAGCAGCTAACAGGTTTATTCCTTTTTCTGGGACTCACTTTTTTTTCTCCTTCATTATTGTTGTCATCATAAATATTGATACCTCTCAGATCATTGCTGTTTGAAGGTGATGCCAGGTTTTGTTCTCCTTCACTGAAGGACGATACGTCGTTTTTGAAGCTCCTCATAATTTTCAGAAGATGCTACAAGACATACAGGAGTCGACAGAGTTTGTGAGGAAAAAAATCCACTGACTCTTCTCATCATTAAACTTTGTTCTGAGAGGTTGAAGGTGATGAACAAATACCTGCCAAGTGATTTTAGTATTTTTTGACATTTTCTGGAGTGTTTCTAATGGAGATTCCTCTGATAATTCAGTGCCACAAACGAACTGACTCACTAGATTGATTTGAAAAGTAAAAAGCACAGCTGATRTGCTTTTGCTAACTTTACAATATTGACCATGACTTGTGCACTATCTGTTTTTTTCTATCTTATTTCTTATTATTTTCCTATGTGCCCTGCATCTTGTTCTTTTAAATGCTCATTTTCTTAATACCTTAAATTGGTTTTCTTAAATTACATTGAGCTTTTAGAGACAAAACCTGACTGTCTGGATTCTTGCTCCCTAAATAGCTTCTGTCTTCTATGCTGGGCAAGAAATCCCTTATTCCAAGTTTCACCCCTTTCTTTCGCTTCACTTCTCCTCTGCTCRTTGAACTGGAAAACTATGAGTACACAACGACGCAACTACAGGAAGGTGAGCTAAGAAAGTGGTCTGCAAATTGAGACGMGYGYCTAGAAARAGACGTGACTTTGCCWGCTGGTTTTGTTTTCATTGTCAAAGTTTGGATGTGGGTTTGTGATCCGCAGCTGTGGGAACGTGATTTGTGTTGGAGTCGCTGCACTCTTAGGCAACAAAAATACCTAAAGCAACGTTGCCGCAACCGACAGATCTAAACAGCAGCGACTCATAACTGACAAAATAATGGCTGTAACAATRAAAAGAAGACCCCACCTGTAATTAACCCTAATCAACATAACAATTTAGTGGTTTTAGCCTCCAGTGTGCATTTACCCACAAAATTTAGCTCTCTTTTTTTCTCTCTATTGCAGCCACGTGACTGTGCATRTTTAACCCTGACTGTGTGAGTAATGAATATTTGATGGAATATAAGATCAAACCGAATGTAAATGTGCATCCAGGCCATGCATGCTCTGTATGTTTCGCACAGCGTGGGGGCTCATGCGATGCGATGGTGGGCATCTGATCCAATTCTTTAGATCTGTGGGTGCTGGACTTCGTGCCCACACASCAGAACACCAAGTCTGCCCATGGGCCCCTACCCCACTCGACAGGGAATTAGCATCGCATTCAGTCCTCTCTGAGCTTCATTCATCGCTGTGACAGTCTATTCTCAGAGGTGTATGCTTCTTTATCTGTTGTGGCCTTTGTGTGTGTGTGTGTGCGTGTGTGTGTTTGTGTGACTGCCTGCTATAATAAGCCTCTGTCTCTCCTCCCTCCCGCCAGCCTTCAAGTTCCACTTCTCCGAGTGATGCGGGTGGAGGAGGAAGTGACCTATATAGGCTGCATCGCTGTCTCTAGTCTGCTCCAGCTTCCTGCATCTCAGCTGTGTGTGTGTGTGTGTGTGTGTGTGTGTGTGTGTAATAGAGAGAAAGAGAAAGTGTGCAGTGGAACGGGTGTATGAATAATTCAGCGGATGCCTCAACACGACCGCCTTCAATAAAACCATCCCCCTTAATGAGTCTTAATGACAGCCACGGCGTTGAGACAATCAAAAAAGGGAGAGTGTGTGTGTGTGTGTGTGTGTGTGCGTGTGAAAGCAGCGTGTGGGTGGGTATGAAGAGGGAACATGGATTCTGGAATAACTGCGCTCATGTGTTGCAGAGCCGTCCGCCCGCTCTCTCTGCCTTTGCCCCAGGCTCTGTCAAGGTTGCCCTGGGTAATACTACCTGAGACTTTGAAAAGAACATGAAAGCCGACTTCTCAGCAGGGGAGGTGAGACGAGAGGCTTGCTGGGGTGGAGCAGTTGAGGAGGCGAGCAGCAGCAGCATCCTCACCTCCCCTCAGGTCTTCGGGCGTGTTTGTGGGTTTCAAGGCCCAGAATTACTTCATCCTTCCTCTTCCTCTCAATGTTTACAGCATCACTCCTCCCCCCACCCTTCGACCACCTGATCATACTGACTGGAAAARTCCTCCTTTACTGAAGTTTTATTCTGTTTTAAAGAGTAGGTTTTACAGCAAATGACTATTTCTGTGTTTGAAGACTAAAATTTGTATACCAGAAGTGCTTTGCAGCTAAATAACTATAAAACTTGACAAACTGTTAAAAACCCAAAGTAGAAAAATGCCAGCTGAAAAGGGAGCTTAAAACTAAGAACAGCTAAAAGTAGCTAAAGTTTGGCTAAAAAAGACAAAAAATATTATATGAAAACAGCTCTTGTAAAAATTACCAATGCTCTCCTCGTGGCTGCTGTTTCTGGACTTTTTTTCAGTTCTCATCCTCCTCGATCTGAGTGTGGCGTTTGATGCAGTTTCCCACACTCTTCTCATTGACAGACTAGCATCCATAAGAATTTCTGACATCTCTAAATTGGTTTAAATCTTATCTTGTCTTCAGTTTACTCAACTCAAAACATTATCTTCCGAACTCTCCTCCCTTTCCTATGGTGTACCCCAAGGCTCAGTCCTTGGACCCCTACTATTTGTCATCTATCCTCCCTCTCGGCTACATATTTCATAAACACAACATACTGTTTCATTGCCATGCAGATGGCACCCAGCTCTACCTTTCTGTTAAACTCATCTCTTCCTCCTATCTGCCTCTCTTGCTGCCTCCAGGAAATAAGGTCCTGGTTCTCCAATAACTTTTTTAAGCTTTAACAGTGACCCAAACAGAAATCTTACTTGTTCGCACCAAATCCACCCTCTCCAAGACTAACAATTTTTTCCATTTACATTGAAAATGCACTAGTTTCTCTGTCTCCACAGGTTAAGAGTCTGGGTGTTGTCTTTGACAGAACTTTATTTCCCACTCTCATGTCAATAATGTTACTTTCACCTACATAACATCTGTCGCCTGCGTTTATCCTTTACACCCAACAATACAACCATTCTGGGTCACGCTCTGGTCACATCTGATTACTGTAATTCATTTCTCTTTGGTTTAACAGACAAACTCATCTAGTTGTTCAAAACTCTGCTGCTTGTATTATCACCAGAACCCCCTCCATTTGTCATATAACACCAATCCTACAGCAACTACACTGGCTTATTGCATCATCTAACATCCTCCTTCTTATATGTCCTCACTTCTTCATGCCTACACCCCCACCTCTAATCTCCTAATCTAGATCCTCCACTTCCTCCCAACTCATCATTCCTTCTGCTGCTCGCCTAACCACCTTGGGGTCAAGAGCCTTCAGAGC